ACAAAGCATGATTCGATATGTTCTCTCATAAACACTTTGCTTTTTCAGTTTCGTCACAAGAGTGATAATCAAGTGAATAACCGACAGTCTGAAGTGCTCATTAACAGCAAGTAAGAAATTCATTCTTTGGGACGTTATTATGATTTCTGGGGGCTCCTAAACAGGTCTTAACTATTGGAGGCTTTCTGTTTTAATTAACTTAAATTTCTTTCCTTCTTTAATGTATTAGAAATTTAAATACAATTTGATTCTATTTTCATGGCTCTTTTTCACAGTCAGCAAATTCTTTTGGCATTTCTTTTGTGGAACACAGGCATCTCTTTGACATATTGTAGTGCCAAGTATCTCTGAGAAGAATTTATTATCTTGCTAACTGAATTTAAAATAGATTATCTCCAAAAACATGAATTTTCATTGCATTTAAATGAACTCATTAACACATATTATCTATGGCAGTAGTACTAAAATCAGCAGTGCTCTAAGACGTGTGTATCTGTCCTCAAACAACAAGGAAGGCCCTGTAAAACCAAGGAGAGGTCAACCTTAAAATTCCCTTGCATCGTGTCCTTTTATTTTATTTTATTTTTAGATTTATGCAAACCGTTTTCATATCTTTTAAATTTTAAACACATTTTATAATTAGCTTACACAGCAATAGGTTTCTTCATTTTTCAGACATGTTTGATTCTCCATCCCCTCTCCCTACTCTCTCCTGGCCTCCTTGCCTCCTCTTCCCACTGTACCCTGTGGCCCCCAGTCCTCTCCTCTTCATTTTGTTCTATTTTTTCCCCCAACCATTTCCTTTAAAGCTTCTCTCTTTTTTTTCCCCAGTCTCATGGGCCCACTTCTAGTTTCTTGGCCTCTACCCATATTTATTCCCATTGGAATGTATGTATATGTATATACATATAATGTATTTAAGTTAGAGGATAGGATCCACATATGAGAACATACTGATTTGTCTGAGCTGGGGTTACTTTGCTTAATACAGTGTTTCCAGTTCTCTCCATTTACCTACAAACTGCGTAATTCTATTTTTCTTTATCGCCAAATCAAATCCCATTGTCTATATGAATCACATTTTCATTATTCATTCATCTGTTGATGAATGTCTAGACTGAGTCCATGTCTTTGCTATTGTGAAAAGAGCAGCAATAAACATGGATGTACAAGTATCTCTATGGTAGGCTGTCGAGTCCTTTGGCTATATGCACAAGAGTGGCATAGCTGGGTCAAATGGTGGTTCTGCTGTTAGGTTTTGAGAAGTGTCCGCATTAATTTCTATAGTGACTGTGCTAGTTTACACTCCCATCAGCACTGGATAGGACTTCTTTATCCCCTCATCTTTGCCAGTATTTGTTGTCATTTATTTTCTTGATGGTGGACAAGCCTGGATAGCGTGAGATGGAATCACATGTAGTTTTAATGTGCATTACTTTTTTCACATTTTTATTGAATTTTTGTGAATTTCATACAATATATGTGGGTCATATTTAGACCCCCTTCCGTATCTGCACTCCTCATATAGCCCCCCCGACCCCCGCTGAGTTTCATGTACTCAGTCTTATATATTAAGACCTATCGAGTTGAGTTTGTGTCCCCAAATACCTTTCAGTGTGGGTCCATCCACTGGAGCCTGGAGTTGTCATGCAGGCCTTGTTCAGGCAGCCATATTGTTGAAATTTCCTGATGCAGCTTCCCTGCCATGTCTGGAAGACACTATCTAGTGACAGGCGTCCTGGTCCCCTGGCTTGTCTGCTGATGATACTTTCTGTTGTATTTACTTATTATTTATTTAATTTTTGATTGATTCTTTTATTTATGGAATTTCCATTTGTATGTGCGCGCGCGTGTGGGAATTTCCTTACTGAAGTTTTCCTTCTCTATATTTTATAATTTTTCCTACAAGATAATGATTCTTTTGTCTACTTCAATAACCTTTCTTGTCTATGTATTGAATTTCCTTATTTTATTTTTATTATTTTTATTTTTTATGTGTACGAGTGTAGTGCCTGCATGTATGTTAGCTCACCTGTGTCATCCAAAGCCTACGGAGATCATAGAAGAGCGTTGGATCCCCTGGAACTGGAGATACAGAAGGTTGTTGGCCGCCATGTGGGTGCTGGGAATGGAATCCAGGTTCTCTGTAAGCGCAGCCAGTGCTTTTAACCGCTGAGCCATCTCTCCAGCCCTTACGTATTGAATTGTTTTATGTTTTTTTTTCCTTTAAGTTCCTTATCTGTTTATTTGATTCCCTCTCTTGATCTTCGAACCTTTGAAACAGTAGGTACTCTGAAAACTTTTTCTGGCAGCTCAGATGTCTCACTATCTGTGTTTCTGTGTTGAGGAGCTGTTAGTTTGTGGAGTGTTGTCTCATGTTTTTTTGTTTCTTCATTGTGTTTTGTGCATCTGTTGTGGTTTTTGCCTTCTGGTTTGTGGCTTTCCCCCTTTCTCTCCACAGTTTTGTGTCCTTGGTTTGTCTTATGCGAGTTCTCCTGGTGGGTTGTCTTTGCCTGGATTCATGTTCAGGGGGAAAGTTGACTGCAGTGATAATTACTATGGTTTGACCAAAGTTTCAGTGTTAGCTTCAGGGGAGGATGCTGTGCATTTGCCTTATGCTTCCTCTGAGGTTGGTAGACGGGAGTACTGGGGTTCTGTTGGCTGATAGACTCTTCAGCATCACTTGCTCTGAGGTTCCTGGAGCACAGTTCACAGAGTAACAAATCAGCAGGCATCCTTGTGAGATGGCACCCGGCTGCTTCTGCCTCATTGGACACCAGGGCAGCCCACTTTCCCGTGACCTGCTGTCAGGTCCCCAGTCCTGTTTTGTGGTCCTCTCATTGCCTTGTGTTTTGCCCCACTGGGTCTGAGCACCCTAGATACTGTCCGTCCTCTGGGCTGCTCTATATACCACTGTCCCTACTGTCCCACACCTCTGGGTCTAGGGCCCCCCTGTTGCTGGCTTCTGTCCTGATGCCTTCTGTTGCTTCTCACGTTTTCTTTTCTCTATCCCCTCCCCACTTTTTTGTTTTTTTTTTTTTTTTTTGCTGATGATAACATGTGGCAAGTACAGTTTTTAATAATCTTTATTTTTTTCGTTTTAAGATTTTGACAGGTTCATTCATATATACAACGTATTATGATTATGTTCATTATCATCTGTTACCCCTTTCCTTTTACCCCTGAACCCCTTCTTTCCAACTAGTCCTCTAGTTGCTACACCATTGGAAGAAATGATCCCCCATGACATAAACATTAACAATCACTAACCCCTAAGGAAGGGGTGGTCCTGGTGGCACCTCCTCTAACCATGATGGATGGTTGAAGGCACAGTCCTGTGCAGGCTCATTGCTGTTGCATGTTCCTGATGTGAACAGCTATATCATACTAGAACGGCATTGTTTCATGACTCTTCTCCCCATCCTCTGGCTCTTACAGTCTCTCTGCCCCCTTTCAGTGGTAACAGGGCGTTGGGGCAGGGGAGGTGATACAGATGTCCCCTTTAGGGATGAGCACTCAACAGTTGCTTATTCTCAGTACTTTGACCAGAGATGAGTCTTTGCATTAATTGTCATCCCTTCATCAAGGACCGTCTATGCCCTTTGCTGAGAGTGACACTCCTCTGTGGGCATAAATATAAATATTTAGAAGGAAGTTTAACAACATTTCTGTGTGCGGAACAAATGATAGTATGTTTTCTCTCTGGGCCCATGATCTCCCCAGCCATAGGCTTTTGACCGGGTTTATCATACCACATATGTATTCCCTTCCAACTTGATTTCTCTGTGCTGTAAGCAAAGTGTATGTTGTTCTCAGCAAAGGGTCTTATTATATAGTTTTGGTGGGCAACGCAGAGTGATGGCAACATCCAATATTCTTTCTGGGGTCTCTGGGACTTCTCTGGTCAACAATTCATAGGCAGATATTGCACACTTGGCACTGGGGATTATATGTAAAAACTTAGGACTTTGGTGAGAAACTATCAAACTATGAAGGGTCCATATGTTCCAAGGTTTATTGTTATTGTTATTGTAAGAATTTTTGAGTTTTGTATTTTGGTTTATAAAGTAGTAGGTATCGACATGTCTTTTCCATGCATCCTAGTTTTTGTTATGCCTTCTCCACATCCCCATATTTCCCTCATCTCTCTATCCCATCTCCCTTTAAACCTTTCCCTGCCTGGTGTGCTGGATAGCTTTAGTGTCAACTTGACACATCTGGGTAGAGGGAACCTCAATTGGTGAATTGCCTCCATTAGACTGGCTTGTGGCCATATCTGTGGGGCATCTTCTTCATTATTGAGTCCTGTGATGAGGGCCCAGTCCACCGTGGGTGGTGCCACCCCTGAACAGGTGGGCCTATGTTGCATAAGAAAGCAGGTTGAATAGGGACCAGGGGAGCAAGCCTGTAATCAGCATTCCTGCATGGCCTGTGCTCTAGCTTTGGCCTCCAGGTTCCTGTCCTGAGTTCCTATCTTGGGATCCCTGATGAACTGTGACCCAGGAGATGTGAGCTGAATAAACCCTTTCCTCCCCACGTTGGTAGTGGTCAGAGTGTTTTGTCACAGCCATGGAGAAACTAACTAGGATGCCTGGTCTTCCTCACCTCTACTTTTCTATCCCCTGTGTTTTACTATTTCCTCCTGTTGGAGTTTCCCCTCTGTGATTCATTTCTTGATTCATAGCCTCCACAGACACTCACTCCACTTTAAATGCGGAAATCTATAAATTTGAAGCTACGATCCACATATGAAAGAGAATGCATATTGTTTTTCCTCTGGTGCCTGGGTTACCTCTCTCACTGTAGTATTTTCCATTCATATTCATTTTAGTGCAAATTTCATGATTTATTTTTTTATGATGGAATAAAATTCCATTGTATATATGTACCACATTTTCATTATTAGTTTATCTGTTGCTGAACATCTGGGCTGATTCCTTTCCCCAGCTATTGTGAGTATAGCCTCAGTGAAAATGGATGTGAAGATATCTATTTTATGGAGTCCTTTGGGTTTCTGCCTAGAGTGGCTTAGCTGAATGACATGGAAATTCTGTTTTTAGCTTTTTGAGAAATCTCCACACTGATTTCCATAGTGGCTGCACCAGTTTAC